GCGGTGAGGTAATTGGGAGTCAACATCAACCTTTTGGTTCCAACCCATCTGGGGTCAACATACTTGTGGACAGCATACAGGTAACTTCTTCCATCTTGTGGGGGTTTCAGTATCTGCAAAACAGCTTGAAGGGTTTGGCTCAGAATATTTTCTATAGCCCTTGAGGGAAAATCCAAAAGTCCTAGACTTTGTTTAATGACTAGACTATTATTATTTTGTCTTTCTTGACTGTTTTCCTTTGTTTCTGCATTTTCTCACTGGTCTAATTTCTCTGATTAAATTTATTCTTTGGAACTTGGAAAAGGCATAGGGGGCTAACGTTTTTCTACAAAAAAGAGGCAGGTGGTGTATACTGCAGGGTGGGGGTGGGGGTCTGTCCTGGGAAGGCCCCATAGAACCTTGCTCAGTTACATATATATATTTGCCTCTATTTTATACATATATATTGAGAGAGAGAGAGAATATTTAGGTGTCCTAAATAAAAAGCCTGCAACAATGGGACTTGAAGCCCCATGATCCACAAAGTAATGCAACCAAATACCTGCTGTAGGGACTGGATTTTAATACCTGAGGCATAGGCTTGTGCCAGCAGGAAAGCTGAAACTGAGGCAAGAGCCAGGAAAGGGCAGCCTCTTCCGTGAACTAAAACAATAAAAACTTCAGAAAAGGATTGGCAGATTTAGCAAATAAAAATACAGGACACCCGGTTAAATTTGAATTTCAGATAAACGGCAAATATTTGAGATGTACATACTAAACAATTATGCATTATTTATTTGAAATTCAAATGTAACTGAGCATCCTGTATTGTATCTGGTAACCCTATCCCAGAATGAAATGAGGGGTCAAGTCAGGCATATATTTTAGGGGATGATGGTTCCAAAGAGAGTAGCAAATACAAAGGCTGTGAGGTAAGAACACAGTTGACATGTTTGAGGAATAAGAAAGCCAGAGAATGGCTCAAGTGTTCAGAGCAAGGGGCATAGTGGTAGGAGATGGACTAGAGAGGCCATCTGGGGCAGAGATCTCATAGGACCCCGCAAGACCATGGTCGGGATTTAGGATTTTCTTTCAAAGTATGATGAAAAGTCATTGGGCACTTTGTCATGGGAGAGTGACTGGTGATTTAAGAGGATTACTCTGGTTTCTGTGTGGAATAGAGGGACAAGGGAAGGAGTCCAGTAAGGATGCTCAGCCAGCAATCCAGGCAAAGATGCTGGTGGCTAGGACTGGGTTAGTAATTGTACTAGGGGAAAAAAGTGATCTGATTCAGTATATATTTTAAAGGTAGAACTCATTTGCTAATAGGTTGGATATAGAATATTTTTGAAAAAGAGGCATCAAAGATGACTCCAAGGTTTCTGATCTCAGCGACTGGGTGAATGCTGGCACCCTAATAAGATGAGGAATACTATGGGAAGAACAGGTTTGAGGGTGGCAGAAGTCAAGAGCTTAGTTTTAGACATGTTAAGTTTGAGATACATATTATACATCAAATTGGAGATATGAAGTTAATGTTTGGAAGTTTAAGTGTAGAGTTCAGAGGAACTGTCAAGACTAAAGAGACAATTTGAAGCGCATCAAAATAGAGATGATTAAAGTCACTGTACTAGAGGAAACCAACTAGAACATCAGTGTAGACAGGAAAGAGGATCATATCCTAGAGTTTTCTAACGTAAGAGCTTGGGAGAAACAGGAGAAGACAGCAAAGAAAACTGAGAAAGGGCAGCCAGCAAGGTAGGAGAAAAACCAGGAGAGTGTGTTGTCCTGGGAACAAATGAAGAGAATATCAAGTGGGGAGAGATGAGCTGATTGAAATGCTGTTTGGGGAAGGAATAGGATGTGGCCCATGAGCTGTCTGTGGCAGTTTTTCAACATCAAGGGATTCTAGGAGACATAACGAGAATGGTTTGCTGTGGTGGGGATGAAAGTCAGATTGGAGTGGGTTAAAGACAGTAGAAGATGAGAAAATAAAGACAACGAATCTATAATTTCAAGGAGTATTGCTGTAAATGAAAGCAGAGAAATGGAGTAGGGGCTGCAATAGAATATTAGGGAAGGATATTTTTGTAAATGACAGCAGTTATTAAAATCTATCTGTAAACTACAGGGAATCATCCAGTAGAGGGAAAAACTGGCAATTCAGAAAAGAGAGGAAGAATGGCAGGATCACAGTCCTTGAGTGGTTGAGAGGAGATGGAGTCTAGTTCACAGATGGAGGGACTGGGTGTAAATAAGAGCCCAGACTGACCCATACTAATGGGATGGAAGTTATGTGGGACAGATTTGGGAAGGTGGGCAGATGGGGGCATGGGGAGGACTGAGAGTGTGGGACTATCTCCTGATTGCTTCTATTTTATCAATAAGAAATTGAGGAGGTGGGGAGAGTTCTGGAGAAAGAGAGGAAGTGTGAAATGTTCTCCTGGAAAAATCAGAGAGTAATTGCTAGAAAAAAAATATTGGATTATCTTCAAGAGAAATCACATCTTTATAGCACTGAATCCTCATGTTCAAGGTCTTGATGCACCTTTCCTTCATGTAAGCCTTCCTTTTTGTTTTTCAGAACTTTCAAACAGTTTTCCTCATACAACTCTCTGTCCCTTCAAACGTGGCAACAATGTCTGGGTGATGGCTTTTTCAAAGCTAGGTGATATGGAGGGTATGGAGTTTAAAAAAAAGCCAGATTTTTATCTTCAGGGGTCATAGCATCTGTGAGTCTAGGTGTGTCCATCTATACGGACAGTTGGAATGGAGTAGAATGCAGGGGGCTGACTAGTTACTATGGGAGTTAATAGCAGGCAACAGCCAATCAAGAAGAGGAAGAAAAAGATAACAGGTCACTTCACCAGGAGCACCTATGCTCCTGCAGTTCTGCTCACTTCCCTGGCACTGGAGGGCACTCATGTGCACCTGTTGGAGTCACAGGGAGTGCTGACAGGTTAGCAATTCCGCTTGTTTCATTTGGCTGTTCCACTTGAGACTTTTCTTGATGTCTCCTTTTCCTTTTAGAGATGTATCTAAAAGGAGCTAGCTGGGTGTTTAGAGCATCAAGCTACCAAATGAGCCTGATCTTTGTTTTGTTTTGTTTTTTTCCCTTGTGCTATTTTTTTGGTCAGGTTTTGCTATTAGGGGAATGCTAATAGTATAAAATAATTTGAACAACTCTCCTCCCCCACCTCATATCATAGCACAGTTTTCCAAGAAAAAAATTCAACAAGTAAAAGTTGTGCAGCTTGAAAGCAGCATTCCAGGTTTAAGGGACAGACAGTGTGAGCAGACACCCCAGGATGAAAAAACACAGGATATGCTCAGAGGTTAGGATTTAAGACTTTTCTTAAGAAAACTGGAATAAGTAACACAAAGTAAGTTTGGCTCAAGTTTCTAATTAATCTTCAAAGCACAACCCCACTGTGAAACACTTCAATCTACTCATTTTATATAAAGAGCAGATGCCAAACTCTTCAGCCTGCATTCAAGATCCCTCCTGCTTTAACCTAACTTATTTTACGTGTCAGCCTGTGCTTCCTGATGTGTGATGTCTGTCTAGCATGCTGTCTATGATGGCACATCTAAATTCTACCCACCTATCAAGGGAATAACCCAAATGTCCATGAAAACTTCTGAGATCCTACTGAACTATATTTGAATTCACTTGTAGTACAGCTATTCATGGTCAATATTTGGGGGGAGGGTATAGCTCAGTGGTAGAGGGCCTGCTTAGCATACATGAGGTCCTGGGTTCAATCCCTAGTACCTCTATTTAGAAAAAAAAAAGTGTGTGTGTGTGTGTGTGTATTTGTATGTGTGTGTCTGTGTGTGTGTGTAAACTTATTCCCCCCCCAAACAAAAAGTTTTTTTTTAAAAAAAAGGTAAACTATTGTCAGTGGTGTTTGGCTTGCGTACTTCTCAAGCTCTTTGACAGCTATCCCGTTGGAGGGTCTCCCTCTCTCTCTCTCACACACACACACACACACACTCATGTCCTTCCCCGACATTAGAATGTGTTTTATCTGGAAATAGTGTCACTGCAGATGTAAGTAGTTAACATCAGGTCATACTGGAGTAGGGTGGGCCCTTTAAGATGACTGGGATTCTTCCAACAGAAGAGATACAGACAGAACACCCTATGAGAACAGAGTTAAAGAGGCTGGCGTGGTGTAGCTACAAGCCAAAAAAGGCCAAGGATCGCTGGGCACCACAGAAACTAGGAAGAGGCAATAAGGGGTTTTACCTAGAGTTTCAGAGGAAGCATGATCCTGCTGACTCCTTTATTTCGGACGTCCAGCCTCCAGAACTGTGAGGGATTAAATATCCGTTGTTTCAAGCCATGCAATTTGTTACTTCGTTATGACAGCCCTAGGACACTAAGACAACAGTAATTTTAATTCTATCTTCCCAGGCCTGAAAGTGCCTCATCCACAGTCTAGCTCAAGACTACGTAGGGGCCCAATCGCAACCACGGTAAGGGAAGTACTGAGCTTCCAACAGTCCTAGCAGTCAGACGCTTATGAGCTACTACTGTGAGACGTACTGCCAATGCTCAGCAAACGGTAACTATTATTACAGCAAGATATGGGACTACACAGGTAAACGAGACAGTAAAAAACTAAATACAGAACGGGACAGGTGAAGCAAAGCAAAAAACAAGGGCAGCTGGCGGTAGGAAGCCTTAATTTCCCAGAGGACATCCGTGGGAGAAGGAGGTTGTTTTCTGAGGAGATGGAGTCTCCAAGCCGCCCTCCCAAGGCCCGCTGAACGGCTCCGGGGCCTCTGACCGCGGCCGTGGACCCAGAAACGACAACCCCCAGTCCAGGTGTTCCTTCGGCCGACCCCACCGGGCGGTTGGCATCCCTCCACGGAACCGTCGGCCGCCTAACCCTATTCGTGCCTACGAGCGACGCCTCGTCGCGGCCCAGGACCTCACGCTGTTACGTGGGGCGGGACTTCCCCTCGACGCCCCGGAAACCAGAAAGAGCTCTTTTCCGCCGGAAAGAGGAAGGAGTTGCGGCCGAGATCGGACCCCGGAGGGCTGCTTTTGTCGCGTAGAGTAAGGCCGATCTCTGGCCACCGTGCCGGACAGGTGACTGCAGCGTCCTTGTAGGCAGGCTGGCTGGAGTGTCCGGCTTCAGTGGATGTGGCGGGGAACCGGAGTAGAGGTGAGGGGTCGGTGTATCTGTCCGGGTCAGCGCCACGAGCGACCTAGGTCTCGTTCCTAGTTCATTGTGCTTAGCTTCCTCGGCCTCTTCTGAAAAACGAGGTTGGTATCTCACAGAGCTGTCGTGGGGATAGATGTGGCAGGGAGAAATCTACACCCAGAATAAAGTTTAAGAAAAAAAATTTCACTAGGTGAAAGGTATGTAACGTGAAGGTCTATACAGACCCAGACTTTCTGAATCGATGATTCCTGCTAGAGGCAGCAGCACCTGTTGGATTAATTTGAACAAGTACACAAGCATTTGGTAATTTTTAAGCTTTCTGAATCTGCCAGCAGTCACTTGGTATTAGAGGTGGAGCAGAACCACCTAGGTCTTAACCTCCTTCCATCTTAAATTGAAGCACAATCTCTGAGAAGAGACAGGCTGAATGTCACACAGCTTATTAGTGACAAAGACAGGACTAGAAGTTAATTTCTTCATTTCCAACCCAGAATTGTTTCCTCCACACTGTCGTGTCTCTCTGGGTTGCTAAACAATTCATCTTTTTTAGGGGAAGTGAGCAGGAGTGAAGAGGGTGGTGGTATACATTTAGGTACAATATGAATCCATCAAAGGCAAAGTCAGTATGTGTCAGGGAGTTAGAACTGTGTCGTTTATCTACATTTTAGATACTCTATAGATGGAGTTGAGTCTTGTGTTGCTTCTGTCATTTCCTATTGAGCAATGTATGTGTAGTAACAGAATATGAAGGTGAAACTTTCAGTACCTGTACATACTCTTACACAGAAAGGGCTGGAGTTCATAGATATATGCTCACCCTGGAAGACTTTAAACTTATTTATTATTTGAGTTCTGACTATGACTATTTGCTGTAGCATCCTGTAGAAATGTTTGCCCAAAACACTATCTGAATCAGAAACTAGTTATAAAGAACTTACAAGTTGCCCATAAGTCCAGGTGAGATGCTGTAGAGTATACTGCAGTCACCTCAGCTGTCCCCTTAAGTGATAGTGCATTTAGTGCTTGTACTGTTTAAAAGTACTGTGCATTATCTTTGTCATCTTTCTCATATTATTAGATGGAAATGTCTTGTAGGAAAGTGGGCAAGCCTAAGAGGTCTAGGAAACAACCTGTAATGTCAGATTGTCTGTCAAATTCAGGGCCAGGGGGGTAACTTCCAGGGCATATGAACCGAATTTATATTTCAGAGCATTTCAAATGTACATGCTGTAGATCTTTGGGCTCTTTTAAGAATAGTCAATACTATAATATTAAATGTGTCAAAGTCTCTTGAAGTGATGGAGGTGGAGCTTTCTAAACCACATACATCTTACCCACCCCCTAGATTCTTCTAAGCCCCCTCTCATCCTTCTCAGATTAGAAGTCACCATGGAGAACTATTACTAATGGGATTGTGTTAGATCCCTCAGGTGCATTGGGACAGAAGAAAGGTTGAAAATCACTTGTCTGTTTTTAACTTCCCTTGCTCCTGCCAAAACACACAAATTTGAAAGCTGCTTTCTAATAGAGACTTTTCCTTTAATTTGGAAGATAATTTGATGACTTTTTTTTCTTTTCAGGTGTATGAGTTCTTTCAAAGCAGAACACTGTTGTTTCCACGTTCTGATCTTTCAGAGATTATGAAGGCACAATTCCTGCCTTTGATTTGCTTAGTCAAGTGGAGTAGACACAGGTCAATGGTGGCAGCCACTTAAATATTCTAAAGGAGGTGAGTGTGTGGCACTTCACTCAGCCTGGGAGAGGAAGGAATTAGAGAATGCTTCTAAGAAGTAGCTTTTAGCTATATAGGCATTACTTAGGTGGACAGGAAGGGGAGGTCCATTCCTGGTGCCCAGGAATCTGGCTGGTTTATGAACTATAATTTGTACAAAAGACACTATCAGGTGTCTTTTCCAGAGCTCTATCCTTATTTTGGATAATGCTTCTCTTGTTTTCCTTCTCTTTCACTGCCCCCCTCCCCATAATTGGATAGGTATTTGGGATATGAAAGGAAGTCAGAAGGTAGAAATCTTTTTGAGTGGCATAATAATAGGATGGCTTTCCCAAAAAGTAATGTATATACTCAGTAAATTCATCTGTAAAAACTCATTTCCTGCTTTGTTAAAATGCACAGCTGGGAAAACTCAATTTTGTTGGTTGGATGCTTTCCCAGTGAGTGGATTAAATTCTTGTCTCAATTCAGTCTATTTGAATAGAAGGACATTTCTTAAGCTGCTTTCAATGAAGAGACCCACATTTAGGCTTAGGATTGAGCACGGGAGAGACAGCAAGATTAGAATCCAAGTTCATACCACAAAAACATTTATATTGCCTATGTCTGAGTGACTGCATGTTTTAATCAGCTGCAAGCTGTTCAATTGAATTTGCATAATTCAAATAAATGATAGTTTAATTCCACCAGCATCTGAGTGAGGTGGAAATAGAGTAGAAAAACCGATTCTTTCAAATGTGACAAAATGAAGAAAAAGCCATCAGTTAGTAAGTTGGGTTTAATTTTTTTCTGGGATTGTAGGATAGCAGAAAACATGCTGTACAGTAGTAAGACATGAACTAGTACCTGTTCAAAAGCATTTCTAAAATGCTTGGGGTATTTTGCAAACTTGGGGCATTGTTGTGCCCAGCTCCTTGTTACGTTCCTTCCAGGAGACATTCTAACTGACAGAAAAGATTCTGCCTGGCTAGAGTCTTCCTTCCAAGTCACAAACTCTTATCTTGCATTTAGATTCATTAACCGTTGGTTGCAGTGAAGCAAGCATATGTAAGTTCAAATCTCTTAAAGCTCGACGTTATAAAAGTAATAAATGATCATTCCCTTAATATCTTGGCATGCTAGAGGACAGTGCTTTAAAAGCTGGACTTGGTCATGTTCCTCTGGAGACTTAAGACAATAGAGTCCTTGAAGTCAAGCTGACTCTGCTTTTAGCCTCCTAAATGAAAAGGTAGATAGAACAGGTCTTGTTTGCAAAATAAATTCAAGACCTACTTATCTACCAACAGCAATTACACCCTTTCCATTGTCATAGGAGTAGTAACTTTATGGATGAGTAAGGGTAGAGAAAGACATAGTGAACTCGTGAGAATCTTACTCTACTAATTGATAAAAATGTGACTAGAAATTGGAGAAGTTGATTAGGAAAGTGAAGGAGAGGTCGTTTCCTATAGTGCAGTCTTCTTAGGGTCCAAGAAGTTTTCTGGTAGCTAAACCTTGGCTAGGGACCAACATGTTCTCATTTATAGAATGCCACGTCATGGTGAATTGTGCTGGGGACGGCTGCCAGTGTGTGAGCCATGTAAGATTATAATTTTAACAAATTTTGGAGGGTGAGAAGGGCAAACTGATGACCAAGTACATGCTTCAGAAATATTTGATTGGATGTGTCCAAGTGATTGCATATTGTTGTTTGAACCAGCAGGAAGTCAGTTATTAAACACTTTTCCAAATAAAAGCAAACTAAATTTTACCAGAAACCAGTGTCACTTTATATCCCAAGTTTGTTTTTTGCTTTTTTTTTTGTTTGTTTGTTTTTGTGGGGTTGAGGGGGGAGGTAATTAGGTCTATTTATTTATTTACTTTAATAGAGGTACCCAGGACCTCGTGCGTGCTAGGCACATACTCTACCGCTGAGCTGTACATTCCCCCCCATTATATCCCAAGTTTTTAACCAACTTTCTAATCTCATCTAATAAGGGTGCCTTAAATTCGGACCATTTGGAATCACTAAACCTGTGTTAGTTTACACCAGGATTCTGTGGTGGTTTTATATCTCCTCTTTCCCCTTTTGTTAAGGTGGGGAAGCCAAAGCTTGTGTTAATAGCTTGCTCAGGAATTCTAAAGTGATACAGGTAAAGCTGAGAAAAGAACAGATTTTGAAAACTTTTGTTTTAACTAATCAGTATGAGGGACTACGGCTACAGTGGTCTGATTTTTTTTTTTTAATCTTTTTCTTTTTTTTTTTTAACAGATTTATCAACAGTTGCAGGTGAACATGGCCTTGAGGTAAATCCTGCCCCTTGTTGAAATTTAGTTTCAACAGATTGTTCTTGGTGTTTTAAGGAATTAGACTATTTTACAAAAAAACAAAAGTTTTGTTTTGGTTCTGTTCTAGACTTACTTTTCCTTGTAGAAGATGAGAAACATGTTTAAACAAAGATTCTTTATGCTGAATAATTGTGATTGTTAAAGTTGGTCATCTGCCTTGTTTAAATTAAGTGGGTTTTAAATGTTAAAGCTCATTTTAGACCATTTTTTTCTAGATCAAGTAAAATTTTATTGAAACCTTATAGATGCCTAGTTTTTATCCATTTTATCCACAGTTATATTACATGTGAAGTAAAGCCTATTAGATCCCTAAATTCAAATCTGCCTTGTCTGTAATGTGCTACTTTCTCCTTGGTAGTATCTTTTTTCAGTAGCTAAGAACATTTTTTAAGATACATGTGTGTATTTTAGTTGTTTATGACTGGAACCACCTCTGTGCTTACATTGGTTGTACCTTATTTCCGGGTAGTGATCGGGGTTGTCTAGCGAGCTTTAAGATTGTCAAGTTGAGTCATGAGTTCAAGAATCTGAATTTCCGTTTAAACCAACAGGCAGAGTTTTGAGATAGGAGATAAGAGGAGTTCCTCTGTCAGACTTCTGAGTGTATAAAGTGAAAGAGTCTTCATTAACACAAAACCTTAAGTGATGAGATCAGGGGTGTATCTGTTTGCAGAAGCATCCAAGGGGCACTATACTAAGTAGTCTCTGAGAATTGCTTCACAAGTGGAGTCATTTACTCTGCATCTTGATTCATAAGCTTGAAAGTGCTGTGTGTGCAGAGCTTTAAGTGGCAGCTGGAAACAAACTGGAGAACCAGAAATGCAGCTAAGGGGGCTGGGCATCCAGGTCACAAAATGGCATGAGAGCAGTGAGGCAGGAGGCCCCAAAGCCACTGGCTAGAGACCCACCTCTCCTACCAGGGCTTTGCACTTAGTGGACTGATGTTTTCTTGTAAGATTGTTGTGCATTTGTTATATGTCATATACTGTTACACATTCTCATGCTTGTCATTAAATCTCCCATCCTGTAAGACGATTATTTTTCTCTTTGTTTAAAGGGAGACGGAAGCACAGGGAGATGAATGTGACTTTTCTGGGGTCATAAGGCAAAGTAACAATTGATCCCAGGTCTTCTGATTTCCAATCTGGTTCTCTTTACATTACAGGACAGTTCCTAGAATCATTTGCAACTAATGTTTTCTTTTTTTCCCCAGACCTGTCCCCCCCGACCAAGCATGCACACAGTGGAAGCACCTTATTATTCTTTGCGTGTGGGCTGCTGGGTGACACCAGGAAGCACGCAGTCATAGGTCGTGTTGCATTTTTCCTAATCTTGCCATCAAGCCACAGATGCCCTCCTGTTCCTTTGTACTCCTTCCCTCCAAGTTTTTCCATCTCCTGGCCATAGGTTTTTTGCTATAGTTTGAAAGAGCCCTGCCACCCCTCACACAGAGAGCAGTGAGAGGCCGAAGAGCAGTGGTGGGATGAGGAAGATGCGCGTTTATTCAACAAACGCTTAGTGTGCACATGTTAGCCCTAGGGGACTGAGTGATGAACAAGACAGACACTGTCCTGCCTTCGTGGAATTTGTCAAGGTCATTTCAAAATTAGAGGGAGTAAGTACTGTGAAGGAGAGAACGGGTGGGTAGAAAGAGTGTTCAGTGGGCAAAACCTTACTAGAGTGCCATGACTATTGAGAAAACAGGAGAGGCCACATGACTGCCTGGTGGGTGGCCTCTGGCCTCCTCAGGTCTGTTCTTGGCTGACTAGTGAAATGTCACGAGTGTGCTGGGGTGGCTGGAGCCACTAACACTTACACATCTCCTCCCTCCTTCTTCCCCACGTGTGCCATAGGCCTTGGAGACTCAGATATGTTGCATATACACAAATAGACCAGTACAATCTGACAGCCTGAAAGACCTTTGAGTTTGTTCAGTCTGAGTCTTCATTTTACAGCCGGGCCTGGAACTGACTGACCCAGCATCACATGGGTGGTAGTGCTCAGGATCCAGGTCAGGTGACCTGAGTGCCAGCACCCCAGCCTGCCAGGTCACAACAGGAGCCATAAATGATGCTGCATGCATGGGGCTTGAATGCCAGGTTCAGCCGGCTGAGGTGTGAGTGGCTGGGTACAGGAGAGACGGGAAGCTGGGCATCAGAACAGTCTAATAGAAGGTGACATGCTTTGGCATTGAAATGCCGTTGTGTATCTTGAGACACCCAGGCTTTTCCAAAGAAAAACAGGGATGCACAAATTGACGAAGCTGACAACTGAACGTGTACAGATGCTGAGAAATGTCCACGTTGAAAAATGACAGTTTTGAATTTTCATAGTCTAATAGAATGCCAATCTTCCTCGGGGAAACCGTTATTCTTATATCTGGAGTCGTCTTGTTGTGTAGAAATTCATACTTATGCCTGAAGATTAAATGTTGATAGTACAAAGCTTCAGAAATTATGTAGATGGGCCAGTTACAGAACATTTCAATTTTCAAATACTCTTACAACTATTTTCTTTTATTAAAAGACGATCAAAGTAACAGGCCATTTCTAAATATTTCTTTTCTAGAATGTGTCGTAAGGAACTTATATTTTAAGTTTGTTTCTGAACAACCATTTAACCTAAGAAACTTACATACAGCATCATAAACTCATATTGCATCAAAATTTCCCCAGAAATAACATGTTAAAAAATTTGGATTTCAAGGTTCAGGTATGTAAATCCCCTGTAATAAAGGCATTTGAAACAGGGCATCTCATGATCTTTCATGTAATAAGATGGCCTTTTGGTATAACCTGGCACAAGGACTCTGAGTCATCCCTTTCCTAAATTCTCCAGCTGAGCAGGGCACTGCAGGGCCTGTCACCGCTCAGTGTTGGGTAGCACCAGCACCCTCTCGTGCTGGGGAGGTTTTCACTGGGAAGGGAGGTTGCCTCTGTGTGCTTTGAAAAACGCTTGAAACCAAAGCCAGCCATAGGAGTGTCCTAACTGCTACTTACAGGCGTTTGAAGGGCCCTGTTTGCCAGCGTGCTGGTCCACACGGCTGGGATGAACACTGAGAATATGACCCAAATGTGTCAGAGGAAGCCAGCCTGTCTCCACCCCAGTGCACCTTATCTTCTCTTGACTGAGCTGCCAGGAGCTAAACAAGTCCTTCCTTCCTGTTTACCCTCCCACCACCAACAGAGTCTAAGACTCTGAACCAAAAAACATGAGTCCTCCACTGTTCACACACAGACACACCCCGACACTTGGACATCTTTCCAAGGTGGGGCTGCAGACTTCTGCTCTAGCTTTCAGCCCTCCACCCTTCCTTTTTCACTCTATCTCATGTTCCCACCCCTCTTCTGTCTTCTGGCCTCACCCCTCCTACTCCACACAGACGCCTACTCTTCCTTTATGTTCCCCCAGTTTTTCTCTGCCCCTTGTTGTTAACCTTTCTAGGAGAGGAGACTTGGATTTTTAGTTTTAACTTCAGGTAGAATCTCCAGAAAGAGCATTTGGCTCAGTGCACAGTATTTCTTGCATCCCCCAAACTGGGTCTGAGGTTTAGCAGAGTCCATTACAGACTAAGCATCTTACAGGGGGAAAGCTGGTCTTCCCACTTATGCTTGGGCCTGACAACATTCAACTAACCACAAGGGAGGCTCACGGGCACAGAACATTGGATAAAACATTAACAGGATTCAGCACGTTGAGGGTCGGAGGCCCCATAGTACACGCGGTGCAGGGAAAGTGGTGTGAAATTTTTTGCAATTTTTGAGATGAAGGGAGGTTGTATCCATGGCCTTCTAAGTCTGAAATGTCTGTTGGTCTGGGCCTCGTGGGACTCCCCCTGCTTCATGGAACTGCATTAGCGGACAGGGTGCTTAGCAGCAGCTGCAAACCAGAGTTAGCTGTAACCATCAAGCCTCCGCCCACATCTACTAAGAAAGGTGAAACTGGGGCTTCAGATCACACTGTGTCTTTACTAAAACTGAAGTTGAGCATAAAAACCAATCACTTAGTGGTGAAGAATGCTGTCTTTGGAGCCAGACTGCCTGGGTTTGAATCCAAGCTCTGAATCTGTGTGGGGTGGATTACTGAACTGCTGTAAGGCATAGCTTCCTTATTTTTAAAATGGGATGATACAGCTGTGAGAAGTAAATGAGATAGCATGTGTAAGAGTGTAGAACAGTGCTTGGCACATAACATGCTCTTCATGAATTTTAGCTGTTTTATCAGAGAAAAGTACCCAGAGCTGCTCTTTCTCTTTCCATCTGGACTTTAGGGAAAGGGGCTAAAAAGAAGTCCTGAAATACCTTAACATGTTTTACGAAACATAATGTGGGCCTTAATTATTACTAGTGAAAGCCTCTGGCTCTATTCTTTCCAAAGCACATTTTAATCTTAAATCTTGGGCGTCCAGATTTCACCTTACCTTGCTGATGCAAATGTGTGCCTCATGCACCAGGAGAGGCGGTTTGCTCCCAGGTCCTCCTGTTTAGGAACATCATCAAAGGCCACACCCACCGTGTAGTCCAAACACTCGTCCACCTCCACCTCCCAGTAATGGCGCCCTTGGACTGGAATCAGGTTTCCCATGACAGCAACACACCTGGTTTCAGAAAGTGGAGGCACGTGTGATTTGGGGTGACCCAAGCTCACTGTGCAGGTGAGTGACGTCAACTGCTGGGGTCAGTCGGGGTGGTCTGGAAGAGTGGAGGCAGGTGTTGGAGCACCTCATTTGTAAAGCAACACACCCTTAGCTCCCAAAGCTCACCTGAGTGATGCTGAAGGTGGGAAGAGGATTATTCACTGCGGTAATAGGTGAGGAGGAGACAAGCCAATAGAAAAGGCTCTTTTTTTTTTTTCAGTGATTGGGCTTTTATAGTAGCAAAAAGGCCTGGTTCACTTGTTTAATAAGAAGAAAGGGATTGAAACCCGACAGAATGCAGCACAGTCAAGGGAACCTGGCGCTTGAGGTTCCCGAACCGGCCAGCACTTGCTTATGCTACAGACAGCACGGAGGGTCCCGAGGTGATGCCTCTGTTAGAGGTGACCACAGGTGGAAGAGAAGAATTCAGATTTCAGTGGCTGACCCATGAAGAGCAAAATAGCAAATTCCTCACAGATTATCAGTCACTGGGAATAATTACACTGACGAAGGTCAGTTACGTTTTGTTCCACAACAATAAAGAACTCTGCAGAGGAAGGTTTTTGTCGGAAATCAGATCACATCATATCTCAAGTGAACAGTCTACCTCCCACAGGAGCCTCCGATGTTAGCCAGACTTCATGCGGCTCCCCAAATCCCTAAGCGGATCTGTCCAGCTGTCGTTAACACATTATCTCCACTCTCAAAACCCCAAGCTGTGAATGCCCAAGCAAAGCTCTGGGAAGGAGACTGCACGTTAACTCCTTACCTGTAAAGTGAGGCCAGCTCTGTTCCAAACTCTATTCCAGACCCACATTTCCATCCACCTGTTGTTTCTAATTCAGAATGTCCCAAACTAAAATGATCACATTCCCACCGCTCCTACCTGCCACGCTTGTGTTTTGGGTGTGGTGGGGAGGTGTATACACTACTCTTACTTTCTGTTATTAGATTCACTGTCTACCCAGTAACCCAAGGCAGAAAACTAAGACAGGGATAATGCGGTTATAAGCTCAGCTTCTAGTTTAATTCCAACTCCAACTCTTAATGGCAGCGTGCCCTTGGGCAAATTACTCAACCTATCTGTGCTTCAGTTTTCCTGTGTGTTAACTGGGAGCTCACAGGATGTTGTGATGATTCAGTGAGTTAATCCACGTAAAGCATCCAGCACTTGATAAGCACTGTAAATCCAGTGACTCCACAGTCCCCAACTCATCCGTCTCTTGTTTCCCCCTTAACCAGTGGCCGCTAGCCTCACTGGTGTTGTGTTCTAGGTATGGTTGAATCCCTCGGCTCCTCATCCACCTACCGCTGAGTTAGTCAAGGCTCAACAGCCTCCTAGCCTCTCCCCATCCCTCTGCAGCTTACACTTTTTGCAATGCACTCTGGTCATGTCATTCTCCTACTCTAATCCTCCAGTAATTCCCACCATCCTACAGGATAAAGTCCACACTTCTTTTTTGCACTGGACCTTATCCATTGTTCTTGCCTCATCTTCCACTTCTTCCCATTATGGACCCCACACTGCAGACACGCCAAATTGCTCCTAGTTCTCACAGCATCTGATCTTTCTGGCTTCCATTGTTTGTACATACACAAGGCACTTTTTGCCTTGTTGTCCTGGATAACTCCTCTTTATCCTTCAAGACTTTGTCTCTCCAAGAAACCCTCCTTGGGGCTCTTACAATCCCTTGTCCACACTTACACCTTATCTTCTAGATGTGTGTTTTTACTTATGTGTCTCCCCTACTTGCCAGTCTGAGTCTCGAGTGGTCAGGGATCGTATCTTTGTCTCTTTATCCCCAGCACACAGCACAGTGTTTCACGAGGCAACAGATATACTTGTGACAGGATATTAAAATGGGACTGTAACGGGCAGAAGGCCTAAATAAGCAATTCTCCAATGAAGACATACGAATGGCCAACAGGCACATGGAAAAGTGCTCAGTATCACTAGTTATCAGAGAAATGCATATCAAAACTACAATGAGGTATCACCTCACCAGTCACAATGGCCATCATTCAAAAGTCTACAAACGATAAATGCTGGAGAGGCTGTGGAGAAAAGGGAACCCTCGTACACTGTTGGTGGGAATGTAGTTTGGTGCAGCCATTATGGAAAACAGTATGGAGATTCCTCAAAAGACTAAAAATCGACGTACTATATGATCCAGCAATCCCACCCCTGGATGTATATCCAGAGGGAAACTTAATTAAAAAAGATACATGCACCCCAATGTTCATAGCAGCACTATTTACAATAGCCAAGACATGGAAACAACCTAAATGTCCATTGACAGATGACTGGATAAAGAAGTTGTGCCAC